TTTTTTTCAGGATTTTTATTATTATTGATTTTAAGTTTTTCAAGATTATCATTATTAATAATTATTCACTAGATTATCATTATTATTGATTATTCACTAGATCATCATTATTATTGATTATTCATTAGAGAAAAGATTGTAATTTTAAAAAATTTAAAGTATTTGCAAAAACAAAAGAAAATATTTTGCAAAATTTTCAATTTATTCCTTTCAATATATTTGCAATTTGAAATTTCCAAAATTTGCAATTCGCAATTTTCGCAATTTTTTCATAACTTATGCCTAAAAATTTTGTAATTTAATAAAAAGTTGATTTAATTAGTAGAAAATTAATTTAATAATTCATTTATATGAAATATCAAAGTATACGTGTAAAATGATCAATTAAGCAAAAATTATTATTACTTTATTATTATTACTTTAGTTTTATTATAATATTTTATATTATAAATTGATTTTTATACATAACTGAAACTTTAAGACTTTTCAATAACAAATACCTTTGCAATTATCTTTAATAATAACATCTGCTAATTAGTAAAGGTAGTTTTATTCGTATAATTTATAACAATTAAACAAAGATTATCATTTGAATAAAAAAGTTCTCATTTTTATAAAGATCATGTAATATTATTTCTATAAACTTTCAAAAATTATCTTAAGAGATTACAATAAACAATTAATATGTTTTCTTCATTAATTATCTGTTTTTTCTGTATTAATTATACATTTAGCAGCCTTATTGTTGCATTTTATTTTCCTTATTTTATTTTAAAAAAAGGTGATAAATGTTTCATTGATGGTTTGAAACAATTCAAGCAATAATTGTTAAATGTTTTAACAATTTGATCGCGGTGTCAATAAAATATTTTCAAGCAGAAGTTGAACATTCAAATATTTTCCTTCGGTATGTTGCATATTTGCATATCCCAAATGTATCTTGATCAAGTGAAATTATTTTTCTCAGCATAAATATCAACTACTAAAATATTTTCCAAAATCAAATTTGATTAGTATCATATAGGAAATGAGGCCACTGAAGCGATGTGGCACATATTTCCTTTATTTCGTGCTACATAAGCATATCCGTTTATTCCCCAGTTAGTTCCCCAGCTGAAAATCGGAAAATATAAATTGTATTTAATTCTCAAGTAGCGCTAGCATCAGTTCAAATCAATACTAAGTTGATGGCCACTTCAAGGGAAAAATTTTATGAAAGCGGTTTCTTTTGTTAAATGAATAAAGGAATGGAATTATTTAGTAGATGGATCAAAGTAAACCTGTTTTTAATAATCCAATAGTCTCCGAGAGTCTTATGGCTTCCATAACCGACAATTAACACTGCATGGCTTGATCTACCACAATTTTTATCGGCATAGATACCTGAAATATTAAGACACAAAGTTCTTCTAAGGTCATTCAATGATCTTGCAATATAACGAAATGCATATCATACGAGATCGATACTGGAAGGACAATGACTACATTTTTTTAAAATATACGTTTAATTTTTTATTCCTATATTTACTGTTTACTTTCGAACTAGCTTATTCAATAAAGTACCGGATTTATAAAGTTTGAAACCGCTTTGACTTCCGGAAATTCCAGCAGTAACGGGTCCATGTTTAGCAATGGCATGCTTAAGTGCCAATTCGTCACCGCTTTCTATTACAAAAAAACCTTTAACAGTGGTGGCAACAGCTTTCTTTTTTCCCCACTTACAATTCTTTCCGGCACCAAAAACATATGGATACTTCGATTCTGCCGCAATGCGGAATCGTTTGGCATATCTAAAGACCTAAAATTTTTAAGTAATTAAGATTCTTTGACCTTGATTAAGATTCTTTGACCTGCCAGAATATATATTTGAAAGTTTCGTTTCATTTCATTTCATCAAAGAAAAAATATTTTTCATTTTTCATCAACTGATACTGTAAGCCATTGTCAATAAGCATTTGTGCCAGAATATTTGATTAGTATAAACTTTGTTCTTAAATGCTAGAATAAAAGTTAAAAACTACCGTTAGTAGAAAAGTTAACAATTTTTTGCCTAATTCATAGAAAAAAAATTGACCGAAATCGGATAACCGCCACTGCAACCGCGATTACCGTACACTCGTGTGCAATCGATGATATTTTGCGGAGATAAATCGATAAGTTTTCCAGTCTTCTTCTTATGATAAGCTTCTAATGCCCCAATTGCGCTGAATGCATAACAACTGCCACACTCACCCTGTATTTTACATTATTGATTATTGACTTCATCAATCATATCAGGTTTTATTATTAGTATAGATAATTTAAATACAAATCAAAATTCGAATGTGAATTTCGATATAAGCAAAAACAATGCAATAACGCTATGGCATTGTATTCATTTCAGTTAAAACATTCTCAACCGATATGCTGCGATGATCAATTGAAAATTTTTAACAAGCTTTGCAAACACATGATATTTTGTAGTTAAGGTGAGCAGGTGAAGTGCCTTAAGCGTAGAATCTTCAGATTCTTAATCACTGAAGAACTTCGAGCAGAGTTAGAGTTTTGAATTTTGTCATAGTTGCTGTCAAAAATAATTCAGCATGAATTTATGTGTAAGAAATTACAAGCAAGTCATACTTGCGCTCTGATCGGTGTGACGCTCCCTTTTTTTCTCCAATCAACTGATATCGGCAATTTTTCGGTTTCATTATATTTGTAAAAACCACTAGCTTTTCGAGTGCGTCGTTTTCCAGTTACATTAGACAATCGAAATCCATTCATCATGAGGAATTCACTTTCAGTCTGAAATTGAACTTAAGTAAAATTTTCCAACAATAATAATCGAATTGATTAAATATTTCAATGGAAAAATACTGAAATGATTTATAAAGCTGTCGTCGAGAATCTAAGCACTGATAAAAGTTCAAAATTCCAAAGAATAATTTTTCAGAAATGGAAATTATTGTGCGATGTGCTGTTTAAAAAGATATTTTTGGGAACTAATAGATTTCAATAGTATCGAAATATGTCAGATATTAGCATCTCATTGAATTAATCTAACTGTTAATTTTACTTACCAAATCAGATAAATCATTCAACGCGGTTTTATAAGAAACTAAGCCTTCGTCATACTCTCTATTCATCTTTTCTGTCGT